ACATTCTTCACGAATGGTCTCATTCAAGGTGTAAAGGGCCTGCTGTTTTTTCTGATGCCCACTCATAGGCGCTCTCTCAGACGTGTGGGGAAGGAAGCCTTTTCTCCTGGGCACGGTTTTCTTCACCTGCTTCCCTAGTCCACTGATGAGGATCAGCCCATGTGGTATTTTGCACTGATTTCTGTATCTGGAATCTCAGTTACATTCTCTGTGATACTTGCCTATGTAGCTGATATTACTCAGGAGCATGAGCGAAGTATTGCTTACGGATGGGTCTCAGCCACCTTTGCAGCTAGCCTGGTCAGCAGCCCAGCCATTGGAGCATACCTTTCTGCCCGTTATGGAGACAGCCTGTGGTGCCGGTGGCCACAGTGGTGGCTCTTCTGGACATCTGCTTCATCTTGGTGGCTGTTCCAGAATCTTTGCCAGAGAAACTAAGCCAGCTTCCTGGGGAGCTCAGATTTCTTGGAAACAAGCAAACCCTTTTGCATCCTCGTAGAAAGTTGGGAAAGATTCTACTGTCTTACTTATCTTTATCACCGTGTTCCTTTCATATCTTCCTGAAGCTGGACAGTGTTCAAGTTTTTTTGCATATCTCAAGCAGGTCATCAGTTTTGGGTCTGGTAAAATTGCAGTACTCATAGCTATGGTAGGAATTCTGTCTATTGTGGCTCAGACAGTCTTTCTTAGCACCTTGATGAGATCACTGGGGAATAAGAACACTGTTCTCCTTTGCTTGGGCTTCCAGATACTGCAGTTGGCATGGTATAGTTTTGGATCTCAAGCCTGGATGATGTGGGCGGCAGGGATTGTGGCCGCCATGTCCAGCACCACATTCCCAGCAGTCAGTGCCCTCGTCTCTCGGAACACAGAGTCAGATCACCAAGGAGTTGCCCAGAGCATCATAACTGGAATAAGAGGACTATGCAATGGCCTGGGGCCAGCACTCCATGGCTTCGTATTCTACATGTTCCACGTTGAACTGACTGAGTTGGGCCTAGAATTGAATTCTGGCAGTGGTGCCCTACAGGAAGCTGTCACCCCAGGCCCACCATTTTTATTTGGAACATGTATGGTCTTTATGTCTTTTCTGGTTGCCTTATTTATCCCTGAATACCGTAAAGCCAGTGGAGCTCCAAAACTTAGCAACTGCATCAGTGGTAGCCTAATTAACACCCTGGAATGGGGCAATGATGAGGATATTGAATCACTGCTGCGAGACAACAGCATCTGGGAGCTTTCCTCCTTTGAGGAGCCTGGGAGTTAGGCTACGAGCTGTGACTGGAGGAAAGGGAGTTCTGCAGAGGTCCTCTCTCAGAGCCTTCAAGGGAGCCACATCACATGGAGACTTCATGGTGCTGGAGGGGTGAAACGAGCAGCACCTTTTGGGCCAGGTTGATAAATGATTCCTTCATCCCTCTGCCGCCATCTCTTGTTCTTCCTGTTCTTTTCCATTCTTTTTCTATTTTTACATTAGCACAAGGTAGGGTTTGAAATACTTCTCTGTAAGTAGTATGCAAGTCTCAAGATTATCTGGAGTCCAGACTTTGAAACTCAAATAGAAAAGGTCATATCCCTCACAAGAGTTCAAGGCTGGCCTGGACTACAAGAGCAAGTTCAAGGCCAGTCTGAACTACACAGTAAGACCTTGTCTCAGAAGAGGAAAAGGCTTTCCTTTAATGACTGGAGTAAGACAGACAGCAATCTTTCTATACCCTTCTCAGGAGAAGGTGCAGGGCTATTGTGGAAGTGCCATCTTGGGCATGATTTCAGGTAAAGATTCTCTTCTTCCTTCCTTCCTTCATCCTCCTCTGGATGATACCCTTTAGCCCACAGGTATTGACGAGTGGCCACTCTTAAAAGTTATCACTCAGTATGAAGGGTCCGTGGCCTTTACTCAAAGGTCAAACAAAAATACTAGTTTTACTCTCCCTTCGTCTTCCTATGCTTGTCTAGAATAAATAATAATATTGATTAGTGATCACCTTTAGCAGATGAAGGAAATCTTTCTTACAAATTCAAATCATGTTGAAGTAGCAAATCAGATTAGTGGATTTAGTATCCTGGTCAGATCTGCAGTGATTGTACAGTGCAAAACAAAACCTCATCTTGCTGGGTGTGCTGATGCAGACCTGTAATCCCAGCTACTTGGGAGGCTGAGGCAGGAGTATTGTGAGTTCAAGACCAGCCTGAGCAGCACAGCAACACCCCCTTGTCTCAAAAAAAAAAAACAAAACAAACAAAACAAAACAAAACAAAACAAAAAAAACCCAAAAAACTAGTGGCAATGAAGAAATTGGAGGATTAAACTTCCAAGAAATTTTTTTAATGATTTGAACATTCCTGAGAGGCTGAGAGTTAGTTACTGGACACCAGTGGAGTTTATATCTCATTTCCCTCATAATAATACATTATCACTATTTGCTCCTTTCCACATTGCCCATGTCCTCCTCCCCAACTTTTCTCATCCATCAGGCACCTGCCTTAACTGCTACGTAGTATGCATTCTTTTTCCATTAATCTTTCTCAGTCTCTTTATCAGACTTCTGAATCTCATGGGATACACACCTTAAATTCTTTTATAAAGTATGAGGGTTTAGTGAAGTTCAGTTTCACAATAAGGGTCTTGCTAATTTTGGGGGATGTTTTATGGACAAAGACAACTTTACAGATTTATATTTATTTTGCTGCACAGTAAATGGACCATTAACTAGCGCCTTCCTTTAACAATGCAGTCTTTTGAAAGTTTTATAGGTATGAAATATATGTAGATATTTGTAAAGGTTTTAATTTTTGCTGGGGTGCTGTGTAAATCTTGTATTTATAAATGTAATGACTGTATTGACAGAAAAAATATACAACTTTTATAAAGGATTATGTACTGACAATACATGTAAAAGAAAATATAGTTTGAAACCTGCTTAGTCATGAAAAGAGATAGCATATGTTTTTACTATGCTGTTGGTTTTTAGGTTAAGCTTCCTAATGCATAATAAACTTGCAATGGATATAAAAAATAAATAAATTGAATGTAGTCCTTTCAATCAAAATGTAAACTGGTTTTGAAAACTGGCTCTGTACTTGAGACTCCAGGTATATTTCATCAACTTTAAAATTTAAAATCACTAAAATAACACTATTAGGCCACAAATCAACTAGGGGAGAAATCACTGACATAAGGAATAACTTTTGTGCGGAGAAATAAAAAATGGTGTCAGGAGTCAGGTGTGGTGGCACATGCCTATAATTCTAACAAATAGGGATGCTGAAGCAGGAGGATCCCACGTGTGAGACCAGCCCGGGTAACTTAGTGAGACCGTGTCTCAAAAAGTTAAAAAAAGACTGGAGATGTAGCTCAGTGTGAAAGCCCTGGGTTCAATCCCCAGAATCAGAAAAAAAGAAATGTCACGGGGAAGTTGATACTAACACCAAGAACAGGTGATGCTTGCTCCTTGGTTGTCTGTGTCTTCAAGGAAAGATTTCTGACAAGACACTTAGATAATCCTACAGTATACTGAGAGTTTATTGCAAAGTAAAATTGTCAGAGAGATAGCATGAAGGTGGGCAAATGCCAAGATGGTAGTTGCATAAATTAAGGCTCAGACTACATTTGTATGATTAAATAGGTCTGTATGGAATATAATTTTCTTTCCCTGTGGTCACTGTTCTTTTAGCAGGAAAATGGGCTATCCGACCAACTTCAGAGGGATAAAAGTTGCTGTTTACTCCCTAGATGGAATGTTTACTTTGTTTGAGACCTTCAGGTTTATGCCAATTCCTCATTCATGGTCTGGACTTTGTATGGGCCCTATGCCTTAACAGCATGCTCAGGGGCGTTACTTTCTGTTGGGCATTAAGTTTGAAAACATACACTTGTTTGGATTTTATAGCTAATGAGTAAGAAAATGAAGAAATGGGGGGAGATCACATTTTCTCTGCTTTTCATGTATCCCCCAGTCACCTGTCTCCAGGCCTGCTAATGTCTAACTTTCTGCCTGGCAGGACCTGTAACATCTGCATTCCTATATTCCCTCTTTGAGCAGATCACATGGACTGACCTGGGCCAAGAGCAGCAGTGCCTTTGGGCAGCTTTTCCACCTCTGCAGATCAAACAAAGCCCACCAAACGTTTCCTTCTCAGGGAATAAAATTCCTGTCATTCCCCACCTTCCAGGTGACACCACAAAATACCCCAAATAAAAAGCACCTATTCCCGTGGCCTGAGTCTCAGATGATTTTTCCTACTTTGACAACGGGCTTCTAAATAATTCGAGGGTCAAAAAGGCAGTTACAAAGCACCACTTGAAACCAAACGCTCTTGCAAATCAAGTCCAAACTAATACAACAAAAAGGTCCTTCGGAAGAAAACTTTAGCCTTAACTTAGCAGTGGGTACAAGGAAAGGCTAATTTTTGGAGTTTAAAACTGCGCCAAGATGCTGCACACTGAAGTCGCCCTCACACCCTAATGGCTCCCTGTACAGATCTTGGCTGCCCGGCATAGAATCACCTAGCCTAAGTCTGACACTGCGAACCAGCCCCCGCCCCAGGCAACTGCAAGGTTCGGTGACAGCCAAGATACCCGCATTTCCTGCAGCCGGGACCTTCCGCAGCCCGAGTTCGACAGAGGCGCAGCCAAAACGGCCCCGCACAAACACCGGGGAGCCGCGGGCGAGGAGGCGGGGCCGCCCAGGCCCTAGGGGAAGCGTGGGGGGCGGGGCTGAGGGCGGGGGCTGTCTCCCGCCCCGACGCGAAGGTGGTGGGGTGTTTAAAGAAGCCGAGGCGCCGCGGGAAAGAATGCCAGAGGCCGCAGCGCCTGATCGCTGAGAAAGCAAAGCGCCTGGCCTGCAAGGCCTCCGAGTTAACTACCTCCTGGAGGCTGTGGGGGAGGAAGGGCAAGCCTAGTGGCACAGGGCAAGGTCTGGCGTCTCGGCCCCCAGGGAATCCCACTGAGGAGGATGGGGAACCGCGGGCTGCGCACCCTAAATGATCCCCCTTCCAATATGGCGACTCCTGGAGAGACACTCCCAAGGGGTCTGCCGGGTTCCCGGCCGGACGACGTCGCTGAACAAAATCGGAAAGGCCGCCTCTCGTCCGACGCGCGCGCACAAGCACGCACCGACACAGAGCAAGCGCGCCAGGCGTAAAGGCGGGGGAGCGGCCGCTTCCGAGCTGACCCTGAGCCTGTGCAGAGCAAGCCCGCAAACGCAGGGGTCTCGAAGCAGTTTCAGGACCTAAGGCTCTGCAAGTGAGCTTAACAGGCGGATTTAGGGCCAGTGAAGCACTGAGATGAGATAATCATGGGGGTGTTTGGACTTCGTACTCAGTGATGGCACCCTGTGGAGTGAGTGGTGGGGCGTCTCTGAGGTCATTTGTGGGAAGGTGGAGAGAGTGACTGGGATTCGCAGTGAATGATGGGGTCTGCGGGGAAAGTGATGGGGCCTTTGGGTGGGGGTTTATCTCTTTGGTTTTTTTCTTTTGTTCTTATTTTTAAATTCCTAAGCTGAATGGTTATCATATTAATTGTTCACTTTCTTTTTATTAAGCATTAAGTTTATGAATTTTTTTCCTTTTTCTGTTTTTATTTGTTTTGTTTTGTTTTGAGGCAGGGTCTCGCTATGCAGTTCAGGCTGGCCTTAAGCTCACTTTGTAGCCCAGGCTGGTCTCGAACTCTGAACGATCCTCCTGTCTCAGCCTTCCCAGTACTGGGTTTACAGGCGTGCGCCACCACACCCGGCGAATTGTTTTCCTTAAGAGCAGTAGCTAGCTACCTGCCACAAAATTTATGTAACATTCCTGCTGTACTTATAGAGTGCTTTATTTTTTTTTTCCCTTGGATGATGCGGAGGAGCAAACCCAGGGCCTCATACATACTTGATAGGCTGGGGCCTATCAAGTGGAGCTACATCCCCAGCCCACTTTGAGTGTTTTCTAATTTCTGTTGTGATTTTTCTGACTCCTGTGTTATTTAGATATGAGAGTTTGATTTCCCAAAATGTTGGAATTTTTATTACTCCTTTCTAAATTGTGGTCTGAGACTGTTGTCTGATTGATCATTAGGTACATGGTTGGATATTTTTAAATTCAATACATGCCACCAAATCATTTTTCAAAACTTTCGTGAAATTGCAATTGCAACCAGCAAAATATAAAAGTGATTGTTCCAGGATTCTTTCCCACACTGAATGTTGTTACCTTTCCCCCCCTCATTCTCAACACCAAGTAAGGTGGGTGGTATCTAGTTTTCTTTGATACTCATTTTCCTGAAAATGCGCTATTGAACATTTTTCTTATTTATTTACTATTGAAATATACGTAAAGTTTTTTCATATCCTTTGTTGTTTTTTCATTTGTGTTTTTTGCAAGTTTATTAATATCTGTTATTTGTTGTAAGTATATTTTTACCTTTTTCTCAGTTGGATAAGAAGTAAAATTACTCATTTCATAGTTAAACAAATATATGCCTTAAATATATTGTAACATTTTTATTGTTTTAATTTTTAAATTTAAACTCTAATACAACTGCATTATTCTGGTGTGTGGTAGGAAATGGCATCAATTTGTATTTTCTGTTCAGGTGGCAAATTTTCCAGCAGCAGTTGTTAAATGACTAACCTTTTTCTAATTCAGTTAAATGCCACTTCTGTTACATGTAACCCCAAATGTATATTTTTTTATTTCTGAGCTCTGATTTGTTCTTCTGTGATATTTATTCCTTTTAAGAAATTATAATCACTTGGAAGTACTTTTAATATCAAATATTGCCAGTCCTCATTTTAAAATTTTTATTATTTAAAATTTTTTTTCCCCAGTGCTGGGCATGGAGCCCAGGTGTGCCCGTACACACATTAGGTAAAAGTGCTGTAGCACTGAGCTATACCCCCAGTTCTTTTTATTTTTTTATTTTGAGATAGTCTTGCTAGGCTGACCTCAAACTTGTGATTATCTTTGCTCAGCCTCCCCAGTAGCTGCTATTACAGGTGCATGCCACTGTGCCTGGCTCTCGCTGTTCTTTTTGTTGTTGTTGTTTTCTTTAATATGCTTGAAGGTTTATTTTTTAATAAAAATGTTAAAACAATTTTATCTAGTTTCAAGAATAATAATTAACACTATAATATGTTACAGTTTCCTTCTTACAGGTCTAGAACCTTTTTAAAAAAAAGTTTATTCTCAGCTACCTTATTTTTGCTTTTGTCATCATCATTGTGAATAGCATATTTTTTCTATTTCCATTGAGAAAATCTATTGATTTTTTTTTTTGTAATTTTCTTTCCTCGTTGTTTTTTTGTTTTCTTTTAGTACCTGGAATCGAACTCAGGACCTCATTGCTAGCCAGGCAGGCACTGTGCTACTGAGCTATATCCCCGGCCCTATGTAATTTTGTTTCTTACCCAACTCAATTATCATATTTTCATATGAAATCTAGTTGCTTTTTATGGCCTGTTTTGTAAGATATCACATCCAATTAAAAATGATATTCAGTCTTCCTTTCAAATATTTATTAACTTATCTTCTTTTGGGTGAGTTAGAGCATTTGGAACAATGTTGAATGATACTTGATAGAGGGTATTATTATCTTGTTGCTAATGTTAATGAAAATAACTTGGACATTTTATATTTGACAGTGAAAGGCTTTCATTCATTCATTCAACAAACGTTTGTTGAGTACCTATCCCATTCCGGGTAGTGGAGTTGAAACCCTCATTGGTCACTTACTAGCTGTATGATCTTTTTTTCCCTAATAGCTTTATTGATATAATTCATCTGTCATAAAATCCACCCATTTAAAGCTTACAGTTTAGTAGTTTGTTTGTATTTTTACAGAATGTGCAACCATCACCAGAATCTAATTTTATAATATTTCATCATCCCAAAAGAACACAATGTACCCATTAGCAGTCATTCCTCATCCCACTCCTCAGTCCCAGTGGTAGCCACTAACTTAATTCCTGTTTCTACAGATTTATTTATTGTAGATATTTTATATGAATGGCATATTAAAATCTTTTATGACTCTCTTCTTTTATGGTATGATTTCGTGGGTCATTCCTGTTATAATATCTATCAGTACTTCATCTTTTTATTAACTGTTTTCATGGTGGTAAGAACATTTGACATGAAATCTACCCTCTTAAGAAATTTTGGTGTGCAGTATACAGCGGTACCTTGGTACTTGTTAATTGGTTCTGGGAGATATAGTAAGTACCAAAAACAGTGAGTACCAAACTGTTTTGGCCGGAAAGGGTAGCAAGTCAGAAGGCAACTGACAAGTTCTAGCTTATGCTTCAAGTACCAAACAATGAGTACTGTACTTGGACAAAAGTTTCTTGTTAGAATGTGTCAAGCACCAAATTCAGTATGTTTAAGCAGTTACGTAGCAAGGTATGTCTGTACATTATTGTTAGCTATAGCAGATCTTTAGAATTTTTTTCTTTTTGAGATAGGGTCTCACTATATAGTTCAGGCTGGTTTTGAACTCACTTTGTAGCCCAGGCTGGCCTCGAACTCACAGCGAACCTCCTGCCTCAGCCTCCTGAGTGCTGGGATTAGAGGCGTGAGCCACAACACCCAGCTAGATCTTTAGAATTTATTCATCTTATCTAACTGAAACTTTACACCCATCCTTCTGGTTTGGATATTGTTTGAGTGTGTCCCCCAAAAGTTCATGTCGTGGAAACTTGGTCCCTAGTATGATGGTATTCATTTGGTTGCACCTCATAAGATTATAACATAGTATAAAAAATCAAAATTTGGGGCTGGGAATTTAGCTCAGCGGCAAAAGCGCCTGCCTGGCAAGCGCAAGGTCGTGAGTTTGGTTCCCGGTACCGGAGAAAACCCAAAAAAAAAAAAAAAAATCAGAATTTGATATTGGTTTTAGGTATGTGCCTAGTTCTGTGTCATTTTGTTTTTTATTTTTTTATTTATTTTTTATTTTTTTGGTTTTTCTCCGGTACCGGGAACCGAACTCACGACCTTGCGCTTGTCAGGCAGGCGCTTTTGCCGCTGAGCTAAATCCCCAGCCCCTTCTGTGTCATTTTGTTATGTGTGTTGATTCACTTCACCAGCGCCACAATCAAGATAATTGAACTATTACCTTTTTAAGTCTTTATCTCCGCCATCCCTAACCCCTAATGACCAGTTGTGTATTTTCTATCTCTAAAATCCTGTATCTTTTGATAATGTCATAAACAGAATCATACAGTAAATGAGGTTTTGAGATTTGTTTACATAGCATAATGTGTTTGAAAACCATTCACATTGATGCCAATAGCAATAGTTTGTTTCTTTTTATGGCTGAGTAGGGTTCCATTTTACAGATGTATTAGTTTGTTGAATCATATATTTATTAAGGCACATTATGGTTATGTCCACTTAGGGACTATTACAAATCACACTACCCTGAGCAATCTTGTATAATTTTGTGTACACATAAGATTTCATTTCTCTGGGCTGAATGTCCAGAAGTGCAATTGCTGGGTCATGTGGAAAGTATTCTACTTGTTAAAGAAATTGTCAAATATTTTCCAGGGTGGCTACACCATTTAACATTCCCCCCAGCAATCTGTGAGCTATCCACTTTTGTTCCATCCTCTCCTTATTTGGTAAGACCAGTAGTTAGGCAAAGAAAATAGTTAAAATTTACTGTTTGAAAAAGTCACCAGTTCTAAATGTGTTCATAGCTGAATTTTAAACAAGACAATGTCTATAGCATTTTAACACATATAAAGAAATCTCCTAAATTCCTTTCATTTTATTGTTTAATTTTTATTAGTACATGTTTACAGTGCTTAATGATTGCATTCATTGTAAGGAGTTGGTACATGTACATAACACATTTTTTTTTGTTTTGTTTTTGGTACTGGGAATCAAACCCAGGGCCTTCCGCTTGCCAGGCAGGTGCTATAGCACTGAGCTACATCCCTGGCCCTACATAATACATCTTAAACGAATTCCTTTTTCAAAAGGCATAACCTACTACAGGGTTAGCTCAGTGGCATAAGCGCCTACCTGGCAAGTGCAAGGTCCTGAGTTTGATTTCCAGTACCAAACCCACCCCCTCAAAAGGCATAACCTTGCCAGGTGTGGCAGTGTATGTCTGTCATCCTAGCACTCAGGAGGCCGAGGCAGGAGGAGTGCCATGAGTTCGAGGCCAGCCTGAACTACATGGTGAGACCCTATCTCAAAAAGAAAAAAAAGCATAACCTCAATACCAACACTTATTAAAATGATGTTGTTTTCAGTGCTTAG